CAATGTCATGGCAACTAGCCTTTATTAAGTAACGCTTAGTTGTGTGTCAGTTAGTGTCAGCGACGATGGCCAGGCAACTAGCTTTTATCAAGTAACACTAAGTTTTGTGCTGGTTTGCGTAAATGCCAATGGCAAAGTAACTACATTGTATTGAGTAACGCTAAATTGTGTGCTGGTTCGTGTAAATACCGATGGCAAGGCAACAAGCTTTTATTAAATCTTAATAACTTTTAGCTGTGTGCTAGTTGGTGTTAATAACTATTGCTAGGCAACTAGTCTTTTTTAAATAACGCTTATTTGTGAACTAGTAAGGGTAAAGGCCAGTGTCATGGCAACTAGCCTTTAACACTAGATGCTACGTTGTCTGCTGCTTTATGTGAATGCCAATGGCCAGAATACTAGAAATTATTAGGTAACGCTAAATTGTCTGTTGGTTTGTGGGAATTTCGATGGCGAGGCAACTAGCCTTCATTAAGTAACGCTAAGTTGTAGGCTAGTTGGTGTAAATGCCGTTGACCAGGCAGCAAGCTTCTATTGGATAACCCTAAGTTGTGTGCCAGTAGATGTTAATGCTGATGGCCCGGCAACTTACCTTTATCAAGTAACGCTATATGTTGTTGCAGTGAGTTTCAACGCAGATGGCCTGGCAACTACCCTTTATCAAGTTTTGGTAAGTTATGTGCCAGTTAGTGTAAGCGCCAATGCCCAGGCAACTACCATTTACCAAGTGACGCTAAGTTGTTCGCTGGTTTGTGTACATGATAATTGCCAGAAAACTAGCCCTTATCAAGTAACGCTAAAATGTGTGCTGATTGGTGTCAATACCGATGGACTGGCAACTATCCATCATCAAGTTACGCTTTGTTGTGTGCTGGTTGGTGTAAGCGTCGATGACCAGGCCACTAGCTTTTATCAAGTGACGATAAGTTGTTCGATGATTTGTTTATATGATAATTGCCAGAAAGTTACCTTTTATCAAGTAACGCTTACTTGTGTGGTAATTAGTGTAAATACCGATGGACTGGCAACTAGCCATCATCAAGTTACGCTCAGTGGTGTGTTGGTTGGTGCAAGCGTCGATGTCCAGGCCACTTGGTTTTACCAAGTGACACTATCTTGTGTGCTTGTTCGTAGGAATGTCCGTAGCCAGGAAACTAGCCTTTATGAAGTAACCCTAAATTTAGTGCTGGTTGATGTGAATACCGATGGCCGGGCAACCAGCCTTAAATAAGTAACGCTAAATTGTGTGCTGGTTTTTGTAAGCGCTGATGGCCAGACATCTAGCATTCATTAAGTAATGCTATGTTATGCGCCAGTTAGTGTAAATGCCGATGGCCTAGTAACTAGCTTTTATGAAGTTACGCTCAAAAGCGTTCCGGTTGGTGTAAGAATGAATGGCCAGGCAACAAGCTGTTACTATGTGAGGCTAAGGTATGTGCTGGTTAATGTAACTGCCAATAGATAGAAAGCTAGTCTTTATCAAGTAAAGCTAAGTTGTGTGCTAATTAGTGTAATGGCCAATGGCCAGGGAACTAGCCCTTATTAGGTTACGCTTAGTTATTTGCTAGGTCAACTTAATACCGATGGCCAGGCAACTAGCCTTTATTAAGTAACTCTAAGTTGTGCGCTGTTAAGTGTAAATGCTGATGGCGTGGCAACTAGCCTTTATCAAGTTACGCTTAGTTGTGTGCCAGTTGGTGCAACTGCCGATGGCCTGGCAACTAGCCTTAATCAAGTAACGCTTAGTTGTGTGCTGGGTAAACTCAATTTTAATGGCTAGAAGGCTAGCCTTTACCAAGTATCGCTGAGTTTCGCGCCAGTTAGTGTAAAAGCTGACGGCATGGCATCTAGCCATTATCAAGTAAGGCTAAGTTAAATGCCCGTAAGTGTAAATGCGGTTGATGTAAATGCCAATGGCCATGCAATAAGCTATTATCAAGTTACGCTACATTGTGTGCTGGTTGGTATAAATACCTATGGCTACAAAACTAGCTTTTATTAAGTAACGCTAAGTTTTGTGCCAGTTGCTTTAAATGCTGATGGCCAGACAGCTAACTTTTTTTCAGTAATTCTACGTTGTGTGCCAGTTGGTGTATTTGCAGATGGCCAGGCCACTTGCTTTTATTAAGTAACGCTATATTGTGTGCCAGTTATTTTAAGCGCTGATGGCCAGGCAACTACTTTTTATTTCAACTTAATAACGCTTATTTATGTCCTGGTTGGTGTAAATACCGATAGTGAGGCATTAAGCTTTTTTTAAGGCACACTAAGTTGGGTGGTTGTTGCTGTAAATGCCGATTGATAGGGAACAGGCCATGATTCAAAAAAATTTAGTTCTGCTACGTTGTGTGCTGGTTGGTGCAAATGCCGACGGCCAAGCAGCTTGCTCTCAGTTAACTAACCTTACGTTTAAAACCGTATGTCGTGCGTTGGTAGTAAAATACCGGCAACGAGACGACTATTGACATTTTAACAGAGAATCAAGTTACCATTATCTAATAAATGGCCAGCTACGTTCCGTGAGTAATAATACTGATGGCTTAGTAGCAAGCTTACCTCCTTACAATTATCTACCTTGTTTTTTTATCAGTGATTCATCTTTGTCACGCTCCTGGGCTATTGAGCAAAAGCTTGGACTTCAATACAAAATTGACTTTTATGCCGTTTCTGACGTAACAGTCACAATGTACGTTGATGACAGGGATCAACTCTCTTTTATTCATAGCATTCAGAGGTGTCGTTTTTTTTTTTAACATTTAGGTTGAGCACTTGTTTCTGTTGTTACATCAATATGACAATTTATTTTTCATTTAAAGCTCGCGCCTAATAATTCAGGACTCCCTCTGGGTGTGTAGGTGGGACGAGTGGTCAGAGGGTAGTTAAATAAAACAAATTGGAGTACTTGCAAAAGAGGTCACAGTTGTTTTGCAGTATCCTGATGCACTCACTCACGGTGCGCCTAAGGTTTGCTGAAGTCACCCAGAGTGGCGTGTCGAATGAGTGACTGTTCGTGACCTAGATACCACCAGTACTGTTACGAGCAAAGGTATTGTTTTAAGGGATTACGAGGAGGAGTCGATAATATTTTTACTCGTGATCTGACTAGATTTTACCAATACGATTATGAGTGATGGTATTGATTCTTGTTTCTACGCATAATTTAGAAGATTATTAAACACTGGTATTCCTTAGGCACCACTACAGTATTAAGTAATCGTGTACGCGTTTGCTTAGTTATTACCCAGTATTCTACAGGTACTACTACATTGACGAGTAATGGTGTTCGCGTTTGACTTCATGCCAATGCCAAAAAGGAGAAAAGAAACCGGGAAAAAGAAATAAAAATTTCAATTTCATCTTTAAACACTTACTTCTATTTTAGAACTAAATTAAAGTACATGGCGAACCAAAATTCAGATTTAGTATACTTTACTGCAGTATGTAGGCCAGCTATTTACCAAAACAACATTCTTGGCCAAAATGTTGAACGGAAATAACGGTATAAAATATTTTCTTATCGTCACTTTTGGACGCTGATTACGAATTTTGAGTCCAACTTAATATGTAGTACACTCAACAATAGTATTTGTGCTATTTTTGGCCCATAAAGCCATTTTTTATCTGAAATTCTGAAAATTTATATTACGCTGTAAAAATATCTTCTAGTAGGTATCTTTAGTAAGTTATCACGAATTAACTCTTTGACCAAGAAAAATTACGTACTGGAATACACGTTAAATATTTAAACTGTATTAGTTGTAGAAATATTGCTACAGTGCACAAATGTCTCTCTCCGTGTAAACAAAAAGATTACAAAAGTACCATCATAATGTTTACATACGTATACTCACACAAAATATAAAAAAATGTATTCATGTACACACATCACTAACACCTCTAACACCTTAATATCAAACTATATAACGTATTTTTTAAACGCAATTTTAGCTAAATAAAATAAAAACAAAAAATACTCAAAACAAGAGCATGACGCAATATTCAACCAGGTATTAGTCTCTAAACAACGTGGTATTGCAACATAATAATTTACACTAGTCAAATCGTTATTTTTTTAAGCGAGGTAAAGCTCGTCAGTGAAGATACCACAAAGGGTTTTATTGCCTCTATGACGAGAAATCGTTTCAAACAATTTACGAACTTTACTAGACCATTTGACTACAATTTCCTTAACTCTCAGTTACTAGTCAGTACACAGCGGATTGACTCAAACCTAATTGTCCATGAGGCACCTTATTACGCTATCGGTGACTATTTCTACCAGGAAACGAAAATGTCGCTCGACCATGCTGAGCTCCTCGACGATATAAAAGCCCCCTTTTCTCCTTTGCCAGCCCTTTTATTACGCCATCCCCCTCTATTATCCATAGCCACCAAAACTGCTTGTGATTTTCGACTATCCTCCCGTTTTCTCACACCTGGTCGTAAGCCTATATTTTTCAGCATTATTTAGAATCATACATTAAAATTAGTTGCCTGAAAAATACATTCTGACTTAGGGTTAAAATACCTAATTTCAGAAGTCTCCATATCATTTTTTACTCAGACAAATTCTGCTGCTCAAGCTGTATTAATTTTTAAAGCATACTACTGATTTAGAATTTCTGGAACCTTTAAAACAAACTCTTTTTCCACAGAGATCAGAAATTTTACCGCATGCAAGTGCTTGCTTTTTACAACAATGACAGTTCTTATACGATTTTGAAACTTACTATCCAGTCTTTCTACACCACAGCAGCAAGATTACTGGGGGCATGCTCTGTGACTTTCGAAATTATTAAATATACTTTCTGTAGTTTTATTGCAAATTCTTACAAGCTGTTCAAACAGTTACTTAATTTTAATGTAGTTATGAATCTTGAGTTATTTCATTTAACTTCTGCAGCTTCATCCAAAACAAATTAATTTAATTTAGTCAATAGCAAAATATGTTTTGCGTACATAATAACTTAATGATCCAAGTATATATCTTTGTGTTTTAGAAGCTGAGTTTGCTTTCTCTATCTATGATGCTGATGGCACAAACATAATTGACTGTGTTGACCTTGGAAATGTTTTTCGAGCTTTAAATTTGAATCCCACTAATGCATCTATTGACAAATGGGGTGGCACCAAGAAAAGAGGGGAGAAAACAATGACACTTGAAGAATTTTTGCCTTTATTCAGTGATGCAAAGAAAGATAAAGAACAAGGTGTTTATGAAGATTTTATTGAATGTCTAAAGTTATACGACAAACAAGAAAATGGTACTATGCTAGGAGCAGAATTATCACATATTTTGATGACTCTGGGTAAGTTGGTATTGTTTGCTACAAAACAAAAACTTGAAAAAAAAAAAGAAAAGTCTTTATTATAGAAAAAGTTTAAATATTCATCCTTATGAATACAAGCCTCTCCAAGTCGAAGAACTTTGAAATCCCCGTTGAGGTTTTTTTTTCTTTTTTTTTTCAATTACACAAAAACGATTTTAGAAAGGTCACAAAATTGTATGCATGAAAAATTTAAAAGGACGTTTCATAAACTATTTATTATTCTTATTTGACTTAAGAATAAAGAATTAAGGAACAGTTTTTATTTGTTAGTGGAGTCCTTGTGTTAAAATCCTTTTGCTCTTACTTAACATCAAGTAGAAAAACCACTAATGTATTTACTATTTTCGGGAAATACAGTTACCAAATAAAGTAGCTAATAAAAAAAAATTTAGAAAAATGTGCAACTACGGCTTTCTAGGAGGAAACAAGTCTCACGACCGAAAAGAAAACGCTGTCTGGCAATAGCCTGCAAATAATGACACATAAAGCGGGTTTCTCAGATTATTAGGCTCACTTTATTCGTTACTATAATGACGTGGGCATCTAGGCCCCGGAAATCTCGTCACAATCCGGCGCTATGCCACGACACAAATTCCGACAATCACGCTTCTCTCTCACCCGCTCTCACTTTAACGATCTCTTCGATGCCCAATCCCAGGGGCTGGCTCCCGCAGCTCGCCCTGGCTACACGCAGCCGATACACAAACACACAACCTCTCACGCCCTACTTCTCGTGACAACATTACATGCTACCTTACCTCGGGGTTTACCATCTCACTCTCTTCTTCAGCAACTGATTCGGCTGGTGACTTTGACTTCGCAGTTGACAACTGATGACGGCGATGATGGTTCCTCGGACGTCAGGCGCAAAGTTAGGTACTGGCTTATTGTGATCGTTTGCTCTCCTTGTTCTTTTCTCTTTCTCTCTCAATTTTCTCTCTCTCTCTCTCTCTTAACTACCAACATCGCAAAAAACTCAGGAGCTCTGATTTGCGTGGATGCTACTACAGAAGTGACTCGCTAGGCCCACCAATTCGTGCAGCCTTGCGCGTTATCGCACTATATTTACGTACATAGGTATGTCGACAGTCATACTAGCTACTCCTGCTCATACACATATACTCTCGCTCATACAGATACACTCAAACATGGCACCGCTTACAACAATAGGCGACGATACATTCGGTACATTTTCGCGGTGTGGCGATTACAAGTATATATACAAATGTGGTGAGGTACTACAAATCCTTATTTACTAAGTACATGTGTGTATGTTTTCGTACGCCGTAACTCTCGATACATGTGTTCCCGCAACTCTCTAGTCTATTTTTCTCTCCTTGGCGCTATTTCTTGTATCCGATTACTTTCATGTATAACATAAAACACACAGACCCAGATCTTTATTAGCTTCTTGTAAAGAAAAATAGATTTCACCTTGATGACGCGTTTCGGCGCTTAATACTGTAGAGTAAGATAAAAATTACTCCGTCGTACTCTTTTCAACGAACTTTATAACGTTAATATTAACCTAACATATATTTTTCATAATTATTAATGTTGCCTCGTATCAACTACGGTAAACATAAGAAATCTAAAAATATAGAGTACTTTAACTATTTTAATAAAATAACAAAATTCTCTACTTACAGCCTGTGCTAATAAGGTAAAAAAAACCTATTTAAACAAAGAATTGTTGTTGTTTTTGTTAAGCATTTAAAAGTTAAAACTGTTTTAGATGCATTAAATGTAAAGTATTGACGCATGTTATAAGCAAGAGAGCAAATGCAGATACAGATATATAGAATAATGCCTTGCTCTCTTTCATCCTCTTGTGTGCCAATCCTTATAATCCACATTGTTATTTCTATCAGAAAGTACAAAATTTACATCTTCGCCACACCTTTTACTTTAAGAGATTACGTGGCCTTTTGTGATTCTTGTAAAATTCTATCATGTATTAATGTTAAAGAGTCGAAATAAAAAGTTTTTAAAACGTCGTTCAATTAAACTGTTACAAGATCATGAAAAGATATTTAAATCTTAAGCAATACAACCTTACGTTAAAAAAAATACGACACTATTTTGCAAGCCGATAGCAAAGAAGCTTTAAATAAGAATGTTCAAGACATTTGTTAAGGAAAAAAAAAAAATTTTATCATTTAGGCTTTCAAACACAATGGTACTCAATTATATAAATAAACAATTACAAATTTATTGGTAATCAGCAATATCTTCATGCAGTAATGAATTATTAAGGTAAACTAGTAAAAAGGGTGTACTCAATATACAAACATAACCTAAATTATTTTTAATCAATGAACAAAATGGTGCATGTGAGCATTACTACTGATTAGTGCTGTAGTTAACATTACTAAAGTCTTTTATTTATTAAGGCTATATCTTTATAAAAGGAAGATAAAAATATAAAGCACATTAATAATGTCATACGAACGTGAGAATATTAATTCAAAATAATTTTTATGACAGCTATTTTTTTTAAAAACAGAAGAAATGCTTGTACTGCTGAGAAAATGCATGATAAGGTGAAGCTACCAGTAATAATAAAAATTAATTTCTGTGATATCGATTTTAGTACCAAACCTGTTAAAAGTTTTTTTTATGCTAGAAGTCGTTAGATTAACAATTTAGTGTTCTTTGTTCTTAGTTATTTTTTAAACAATCGCACACATTTTTTAGTTTAATATGATTCATAAATATTGATTTGCAGCATGCATCTTCTAATGTTTTACTATTTTCTAGTGATGAACAACACTTGGTTAAATAATAATAAGTGATATTTTATTTGAACAACAAAGAAAAAACATTTATAGTATGCAGATTTTAAATAAAAAAATTTTTTGGCAAATAAATTTTAATGAAAAAGCTAAAACTCCTACCTAAATTTTATTTTGAAACTCCTCTCATATACTTCAAATAATATTATTTCTGCAATACAAAGAAGCGTAGGGGATAATCGGGAAAGTTCGACAGTTTACTAAAAATAGTGTTTTGGAAACATTTTTCAAATTGTTATTTATTTTTTGTCGTTACCATTCAAGTTACTGTCATAATAATATTGAAAAAAATTACGAGATATACTTTTGTTTTTTTTGTCCCACGTTTAAAGGGTCCCCCCCATTAAGCACAGCAAAATGCCCTAATTTAAATTTTTTTTGTTTTTACAACGTCAAACTGTTTTTTAGGGCTAAAAATTAAGGGTCAACTGGGTCCGAGACCAAAAAAAATTTTTTTAATGCTAGGGACCTTAAAAACCGTGTTTTTTACATTTTATTTCTTTTCTCGGCGTCTAAACTTACAAAGATCTAAAAAAATTTAGCAGTATAGTAAATACTCTGAGAATCCTGTAGTTTGATAACTATATATATATGATTAGACATGTAGTAATAGGGGGCCTTTTTGCAGCCTTTTCTCTCGTACGGGGCAGTATCGCAGAGTACAGAGTATGATAAAGATCGCTCACAATATTCTAATACCTCTATGGTCCGTACGTACAAACGGATAAATTATATGTTTCAAATATTTTGTTTCGCTATGCTATATGGCTATACGTTTTTGGGGAAATTTGTAAGAACGGGAACGTACAAAAAGTGAATATTGTTATGTGTCATAGGCAAAACCGCAAATGTTATGTAACACAAAAAGAAGGAATGCTGGAATAAATAAGAAACGTTTTTTAGAGTTTTGTGGTTAGTTTTACGACTTAAAAAACTCTGAAAAATTTAAAAAAGTACAATTTGTCGCAAAAACATAAATCCACCCAGAATTAGTCTTTTAAAAACCAATAAAATTGATTACATGCTGAAATCAGGTAAGAATAACAGTTCTTAGGATGTTTAGGTTAGTTCCACCATCTAAAAAATATGAAAAAATATATTTAAGTTGTAGTTTTCCAGCACTAAAAGATAAATATATCTACTTGCCTGCACTTTTATTGGATCATAGTAAAAATCGCGTTTCAAAGGTTAAATAATTTTTTTAGTGGTTATGTCGACCGTTGGTGACCTTGGAAAGAATTTTACGCAAGAGAATTAACATTTCCTATACACATAAGTTTTTTTTAATTCTTTCGATTGTAAGAACCAAAGATAAGAAACAAAATGTCTTTTTTTTTTAGCAATTTTTCATTTTGTGAAGGTTAGAAAAAAAAATGTTTCCAATGAAACGCATTTTTTTAAAGTTATATTCTCTGCAAAATTTACTAAGGATATTAGAATTCCGATTAAAATTGAAGGAGGCTCTTAAGTAGCCGAAGAACGTAAAATAAATCGGTTTTTCAAATTTTAGGTTATGTCGCAGCACTTAAAAAAACTAAAAAAAACACGTTAAAGTTGTGTTTTTTTTTTTGTTTCACAAGATATGTGGATGACGTCGCCTGCACTTCTATTGGATCATAAACAAAATTTCAATCTAAAGCTTACAAAATTTTTTTTTAGGTTATGTTGTACTTGGATGACCTCGAAAAAAATTCCGTATAAAATAAATATTATTTACTATACTGCTAAATTTTTTTAGATCTTTTTAAATTAAGACGCCGAGAAAAGAAACGAAATGTAAAAAACACGGTTTTTATGGTCTCTAGCAAGGAAAAAAATTTTTTTGGTCTCGGACCATGGTAATTTTTTTGGTCTCGGCTCACTGGGTAGTTGACCATTTATTTTTAGCCCTAAAAAACAGTTTGACACTGTTAAAACGAAAAAATTCAATTTAGGGCATTTTGCTGTGCTTAATGGGGGGTCCCCTTTCTCTATAATTTGCTCCAATACTGCGATGCCTGCTTTACAATATTTATCATCTTAAATTTTTTTTTTGATTTATACTTACAAGCCTGAACCTTGCACTTTACACAAATCAAAGCATCATCTCGAATAAAAGGAAAGGTTTCTGTCAAAAATTGCGGAAATTTAACCAGATTTTTCCTGACTTTGTGATTATCTATATTCAATGGATTACAACATTTT